TCGCCTCTGTCTGGGAGGCGAGGGGTGGGCGCGACGCTGAGGGTGGAGGCTGGGCGGACTCACAGGCCGCGGACCCTGGGGCAGGCCCGGGAACAGCCCCTCGGGGCCTGGGCCTCCTTCCACCGTCCTTGTCTGTTGTGAGTCTTGGGGCTACTGGGGGTGGGGGCTTCCGCGTGGCCGGCCGACCGCGTGCCTGACCTCTCTGGGGTTCTGCACCCTGTCTGGGCTCGGTATGTTTCCGATTATGAATTGAAGGTGTCTTGAAAGTGTGTATGCATGTCTTGTGTTCCTAGTGTGCAGGCAGCAGCTGTGATCCTCTTTGGCTGTGTGTGTCATTTATCTCGAATTCCATGTATTACTATAAGTTCCCTGCGTGTGTTGGATTGTGACTGTAGTTTGTGTCTGGGGCTCTGCTTGTGTGACTGCGACCTTCTGTGGTTGTACGTGTGTGATGTATCTCATCCCCTCAGAGCTCTGCTGTCTGATTGGGGCTTTGGATTGTGTGTACACGTGTCTAGGTCTCCTAGTTTGCAGACAGCTGTGATCCTCCTTGGCTCTGTGTGTGTGTGTGTGTGTGTGTGTGTGTGTGTGTGGCGAGCGTGTGTGTATTTACATCTGTGGCTCCCAAGTGTCGCTGTAAGTTGCCTGTGTGTCCAATTGTGACTATAGTGTGTGTCCGTATGTATCTGGGGCTCTGTGGTTCCTGCTACAACCCGCTGCCCTTTGCACAACCCTCTGTATGTGCCTACAGTTTACCTCTGAACCTGTTAGTTCTATGTGCAAAAGTCAGTTACCCCTGTGTCCATGTGTGACTGAGATCCTCTGGGGTTGTGCATATAATTTACCTCAGATTCCATCTTTGTGTGAAAGTTCCTGTGTGTGTCCATTTGTGACATTGTTATATGTGCCTGGGCTTCCATGTGTGCAGCTGGGACCCTTTGGGCTTTGTGTGTGAAGAGCAAGAAAGGCTCTTAATGGGCCTGCGACCTTGGGTGTACACTTGACTCTGGAGCAATAATCATAACTGACATTGTTCTCGTTACAGTTTATAAAGCATGTCCCTTGCATTATTTCAATACCTGGCCACCCTGTTGTTGAGATGTGTCCACAACCCCCCAGGGCTGTGTTATTCTGAGTCCTTTGTGGCGGCGAGAGTGTCAGGGTTCTCTGTCAGTGACAGCAGCTAACACCTCCACCCCTTGCCAGTTAGAGCAGGCCTTTACTTTGGCTTCCCCCCTGATGGTGAACCACATGGGAGCTGAGCTGACCCTGTGACTTAACTTCCCTGGGTTGTGCATGTGTTAGCTGGGGTCCTCTGTGTCTGTTCTTTCACTGCGTGACTCTCTCTGTGTTTTCAGCTCTTCTCTGAGACGTTTCTGCGGCTGTATGAATATAATTTATCTGAGACTTTCTGTGGTTTTCTGTGTTTTTGTGACCCTCTGCAGCTGTGTGCATGCACATGTTTATGTGTGTAACTTTTGGGACTCTGTGGCTGTATTATACTTGTAATGCTGCCTGTGTGTATGTAATTATGCTGGGACTGTGGCTCTATGTGTGACTCTAACATACCTGTGATACTGCTGGGGGTGGGGATGGGAGGGAGACTTCTTGCAACTGTGGAGAACTGGTTTGCCTGTGACACTGGCTGTCAAGTTTCCCTTAAATGTACACCTGTGTATGCATCTGCCCCTCTTTGGGCTGAGGAAGCTGGTGGTGAGGTATCTGCCTGCAGTGGCAAAACCCCATTCTCTTCAGAATCCCCACCCCCACCTCCCAGTAACGGTCCCCTAGCCATGTGGGGCCCTTCCCTTCCCTCTGCTTCAGCCTGCTTGGTTGGACAGCTCAGGGCTGTGCCTGCCCTTGAGTACTTCCTGTTCTTCTCACCAAGAAGCAAGATCTGGGGGTGCGGGCCATGCCCTGCTCTGTCTATGTTATACCTGTCTTTAGATGCCCTCCCCAAGACCTGTGGCTGCTGGAGAGCAGGTGGAGGAGGGGTCTGCAGTTCAGGCTAG